AACCGTCTTTACTTTAACTTAGTCATTATCATTTATTGTATCCTATAATGGATTTTTGCAGAGCGCAGTCCGCCAATTCAGGAGGTGATTCAAGCAGGTGTTGTTCCCCGCTTTGTTGAATTTTTGATGAGGGAGGAATTCCCACAACTTCAGGTCTAACAGTTGTGGTTTAAAACCCGCTTCCGATTTAGTGTTTTCTTTTCTGTATTTGTTAAATAAATGGCTTACATATTGTTTTTAAATGTCGAATGCAGTTTGAGGCAGCTTGGGCTCTGACTTATATTGCTTCTGGCACATCTGAACACACTAAGGTAGTAATTAATCATGGAGCAGTCCCAATATTTGTGAAGCTTCTTGCTTCTCCAAGTCATGATGTTCGTGAACAGGTGTGTTTATATTCAAGAGTTATTCTTTGTTGTTTCTGGAGCATTTTAGGTTACAAAGTCTTCGGCCAATGTATATTATGCATACTTCTTGGATACTTTTAATAGTAATGATAATAATTATAATTTGGCTACTCTATTTTACGATTTAGGCTGTATGGGCTTTGGGAATTGTGGCGGATGGTTCTCCATATTGTCGTAACATTGTGCTTGGTCATGGAGCTTTGCGTCCTTTGCTAGCTCAGTTGAATGAACATGCCAAATTATCTATGCTCAGAAATGTTACCTGGACACTGTCTAACTTCTGCAGAGGCAAACCACAGCCTGCGTTTGAACAGGTTTGCAAACCACAGCACTTATGATATTGATTAAGTTTAACACAACATAAAGGTACTTTGGACTTACGATATTGAATCATGTGTAATTGTTTACTAATAATTATTGTTGTCCTTATGAACAGACGAGGCCTGCACTACTAGTTCTCAAGCAACTTATTCACTCGAGTGATGAAGAAGTCCTGACTGATGCTTGTTGGGCACTTTCATATCTTTCTGATGGAACCAATGATAAAATTCAAGCTGTGATCGACTCTGGAGTATGCCCCCGCTTAGTCGAGTTGTTGCTGTTAGTATCTCTATTATTTTGTTATACGTTAAAATTTTTCTTCTTTTCTCTTCTCTTTCTTGTGTAGCTGATAGATGAACTAATTGTGCATTGCAGTCATCCATCACCATCCGTTCTTTATCCCGCCCTTATGACTGTTGGCAATATTGTCACTGGAGATGATAGACAAACTCAGGTACGTACGATGAACCAAACCCGTTAAGTGGATTTTAACCATTTCTCATGGATTTTTCTATGACTGTTTGCAGTATATCATCAGCAATAATGCACTGCCCCGTCTGTTGAACCTCTTGACTGGAGCTCATAACAAGAGCATTAAAGAGAAAGCCTGCTGGACTATTTCCAATATCACAGCTGGAGACAGCGATCAAATTCAGGTTAGTTGGAGAATACTTAAGAATTACTTCGTTGAGTTCGCTTTATATATTTTTGTTCGTGTGTATTTTTACTCACTGGGGTTATTTTTTATTTGTTTGGATGCAGTCCGTAATGGAGGCCAACATTATTGGATCATTAGTCCAGTTGCTTACGAATGCCGAATTCGATGTCAAAAAGGAGGCTGCTTGGGCAATATCAAACGCAGCATCTGGCGGCGCTCACCATCAGATCAAGTGAGTTGTATATTATCTATTTTTTTTCTCACACTTGAGTACAGTCATATTTCCTTCATATATTAATAGCATCTTTTGAATATAACAAAGGTACCTCGTGAACCAACGATGTATCAAACCTCTGTGTGACCTTCTCGTTTGCCCGAACCCGAGGATCGTGACCGTGTGCTTAGAAGGGCTCGAGAACATTCTGAAGGTGGGTGAGACGGAGAAGAATTTCGGCCACACAGGAGAAATCAACCT